GTGTGTGTGTGTGTGTGTGTGTGTGTATGTGTGTGTGTGTGTGTTGACCCGTTCAGGCTGCGATTCCTGCAGAGGAACCGCAGATTCCTGCTGCCCATCCACAGCCTCGTTTGCCTGATTACGTTCGGCCTCTCGCTGCCCGTGGCCATCAGCCTGTTCCCCCAGATGTCTCAGGTACACTTTGTTCCTTCAGATGAACCGAGCAGCTCTGGAGGCCAGATGGCTCAGGGAGCAGCTGTGGAGAATTTCAAATGACGTCTCCTCCAGTTAACACCCGAACACATCCTCTTCTGCCTGTCTTCTCTTGTCTAATGAAAAAAAAAAAGACTTTCAAGGCTAAACACAGAAACGTAGAGCTTATCTTTAACATTATGTTTATTTCTTTTCCTTTTTTTCCCCCATTTTTGGCAGATTGAGGTGTCTMGCCTTGAGCCGGAGATTGCCATGGCAACGGACTGCAAAGTGGTGACCTACAACAAGGGTTTATGATGGATGGCGTGATGCGAGAGAGGATGGGGTGCACAACCGGAGCCGAGGCTGCGTTCTGAATAACTGTAAYTGAGAACTTATTGCAGGCTTTGGGAAGAATCTGCTGTGTAATTGTTTACCATAGATGTCCAGTTTTTACTAAACTTGTTTTTTTTTTAACTGTTCTCAGGAGCGCAGCATTTATCGATTTGTTGTTTTTGAGAGCTTGAGACTTTYTTTTTTGTTGCTTACTCTTTGTGTAATGGAACAATAGCATTATTATATTTTCTAATGCACTGTATCTACAATATATTCCTCACACTTGCTTTGTATTCGGTGTGCTTTAGCTTCGAAAACATTTCAAACCTCTGTTGTGTGAAAAAGCTGTGCTGCATAATCTGCTGCTAATGTTTTCGAAGCTAAAGAGTCATATTTTTAACTACTCAAGGTTGGTGGTAATGCGCTGTGAACACGCCACAGTGATGAGGCAAACCTGTTAAAGAGGACTTTTATTTTTCATCTCTAACGGATGTGGAGCGATGCTCGTTTTTATTTAGTGTTGTTTCGCCTTCTGGAAGAAACCAGAAATCTGTTTCTTATTTTCATTATGACCGCAGACAGGCTCCCTCACACTCAGCGTTGTGTGTTTGTGTGCAGTTGAATTTATTCAAGCTGCCTGGGAAAATAAATAGAAAAATCTGGGAGCAGAAAAGCAAACAAAAGTTTTAGAAGAGAGGAGCTGCAGAATGAAGAGAGATTGCTTTACAACAGACAGCTATTTTTCAAGGTTACCTCGAACTGATCAGTTTCTGAGATGGAGGTGAGGAAAGGAATAGAGGATGAACAAACCTAATGAGAAAAAAAAGAGAGCAAACTGAAAATCCAGAAATTAAACAAACTAGTTACTAATATAGCTTATGATGTGATGCAAACATGAGTTTATTCACAGGTTAATGCTTTTATTGATTMATCTATACCACAAATAATTATATTTTAAATTAGTGTTTTTTAATAAGTTTACCTAATTTATTATTGGAGTCTTTTGTCCGATATTACATGCCATAAAACCAGTTTTTAGTTTTGATTTACATTTACAAAACTGTAACCTTTCTGTCAATAGTGCCAAAAGCTGCAGATATGGATACACTGTGTGTTTAATCATTTGTAATGTGACAGCTGATCTCACAACTGTTCCCTGATAATATTCAGAATTATGACTTTGTATTAACTTTACATCTTGATGTCATTTTCCCAATGCTGACTGTTCTACAATCAGAACTTACTTCTTTTGTACAATAATTAAACCACAACTGATATATGTGATTGTTAAAAATGATTTATATAGCAAGCTCATGAATTGTTTCCAAGAAAAACAGTAAACAACTTATGTATTTAATATTTACAATAGCCAATAAATTCTCTTTCACTGTAAAAAGTGTTTTTACGTTTTGCTTCAGCTGACAAGTTAAAAAAATGAGCTTTCTTGATTTTTAAAAATAATTTCCTAATGTTGATGATGAGCCTTGTGTGTGTGTGTGTGTGTGTGTGTGTGTGTGTGTGTGTGTGTGTGTG